CCGCCCCACTCCCTTCTCTGAGATTATTTAACCAAGCAAATCTTACTTCGAGATGGAAATCATTTCCTTATTGCAGTCCGTCTCCACAGAAATCGGCAAAACGTCTTCTGCGCTCTCAATTGCGTCATGTTCCTTGCTCAATGAAGCCCCGTCATTGTCGAGGGTCTGGTGGTCATCTGAGACGTGTTTGGTGCCTTGGTGCGCACAAATAAAACTTTGATTTTGAAGTAAGTTGTGTTCTGGTGTTTTATCATTATCATTGGAGGTACTGTTATAACTAACTTTGCTACCCAACGGACATTCCATTTCGTCCTGAGCAAAGAAATTCAAATCGAAGTCAACTTCATCTGCGATATCTTTACTGTTTTCTTCTTGTATTCCGGAGTTTAAACCTTTACTGTTGGCTTCACCTCGGGACCCGCTATCGTGAGTAATGTTTGGCTTCTGTGATTTGTCTATACTGATCCAGGTGTCGGAATTCGCTTCAGCAACACTACCTGTGTTTGGGCAGCTGCTGAACAACGCGGGTGAGCGGATCGACCTCTGTTCCCGACTGAAAGACTCCCCGTCAAATTTTGCCCCGAAGGCATTCCAAGTTCGCTCTTTTTGGTTGTCTTCCTGGGAGCAATCAGAGGGTCGGTTAAGGTTTTGTTCTATGTTTTTATTACTCACTTTTGACTTACTCTTTGGAAACTGTTGTCTCTCGCCAAAAGAGGAACAGTCTGCAAGAAGTTCTTCGCAGTCTGTGTCTTTAAGGAAACGACTTTCTAAGGAAAATCGAGCCTCTGGACTTGAGCTTGCCGGTTGAGGTTGGGTAAAGAAATCAACTTCTCTGTCTAAATCCATGGGCGGACTGTCGGAAGTGTCACTTTTCTGCTGAAGCAACTGCGCGTCCCTCATGATCTCTTCATCAGACGGTCGATGTAAACATACAGTATCCGTTTGCGATTGTCCGTAGTGTTGTTTAATGTTTATCCTAGAACTGACTGTGCTGAGACTATCTCTTTTGCCACGTTCACAATTATTGTCCCCATCCGAGGACTTTTCGCTCGGTTTCCATCCCGTTGCTGCAGGAAATCTCCAATGTGACATGTCATCAATCTCCCCTGATGTCTGTAATTCATTCCCCTGGGTTTTTTTATGACTCCAAGTTCCACGTTGTTTCTTGTTCAGTACTTGGGAGGGAGGAGAAAAGAGTACTTGTGGAGTTTCACCTGTATCAAAAAATTGCTGATACCGGCAAGTAACATAATTTCTTTTGAGGTTCTTTTCATGTTCTTGATTCTGATTTACAGCATTTGACAACGATATAAGTTGTCTCCTCGTGTTGCAGTCTTGCCTGTATCGAGGTTGGGAGCTTTTATTGTAGGTCCAGGAGGACTGACTTTCGTTTGGTGTTCGAACTTCAGTTTTAAATGTCCTATTGTACATGGATCTGTAATACTGGGAAGGTGCTGGAAGAAAAAATAAAAAGTGCCATTATTCACACCTTGTCCTGAAGCTTCGTTACTAAGTGTCTGTTTATTATTAGATCTAAACTGTTTTTACAAACGTAATGTTTTCTTCCATCTTCCTCTTCCTTCCTCTAAATGTCAATGGCGTGTCGGTCCTATGGCCGAGTTGCTCGTGGGCCCAGACTCTAAACTAAGTCAATCTTATGTGTGTAACAAGACCTTTGGGAGGGTGGTCTATGGGAGGTTTCGTTGAGACAATCCCAGTATTCAAAAATAGGACGCTGTCACGTGGCGATCAGCAAAGGTGTGTTTCGAAAATTGCCTGTAGGCCGTAGGCCCTACTGTTGTGGCACTGTGCATTACCTTGAATAATAATGTAATCAAAA